GGCCCAGTGAATGCGACGATGCGTTAGACGCGGGCTGTACACAGCTGCAACACTCAGAGCAAGGCCTTCGGGCACCCAAGCCCGAGTGCCGGTGGACACCAGCGACTGCCCGAGCACCACAGTGCCGTCCTGCCGCGGATAAGCCCACCGATGCCAGCCGCGGACAACGCAGTGGGTCGGCCCGCGGGGGGGGAGACCTCAGCGCAGCCTGTCCGACGGGCCTTCCGACATGGTTTCCACGGCCGCCGCGGGCGAACCCCTGAGGCACAGTGGGGGGCACCCACCGAGCCAAAGCGGCGGGAGGCGCGCCGTCCCACACCGCGGCCAGCCCGCAGCAGCGCCGGGGCGTCTCCTGCCACCCGGTTTGCCCAGGGGTGGGTGCCACCCGCGGAGAACACCTTTGCAGTGGAAAAGGGGGTGCAGCTAACCGCCGCAAGACACAAGTAACTTGATAGCTGCTGCACGCCGAGAACATCTGCGCATGAGGGGGGTGCAGCTAACCGCCGCGAAACACAATTACATCGAGGGGGGGTGGCAGAACCTCGCCGATGCGGTCCCAGCTGGCTGGTGAGGATACTTTTTTGATCTGCGGCTCTAAGGACGGTTCCAGAGAGCGGGTCAAACTCGACAGGGGCGCAACGCGAGACGATTGGCAACGAAGGCACATAGGCCAACGCCGCAATGCACATGCGAGGGACAAAATGAACCTCATTAAAGCTGGGGAGGGGTCGCACTGTGGCGCCAGCCCCCACAGACCAAGCCTGCGAGAAGTTGGGAACGCTGCGCGGACGGCACAGAGCACGCTGGTGGGGATACACGAAGCGTCAATAATTCTTGAGTATATTACGAAGAACTTTCGAGCGAGAGCTCGACTCCTGAGTAAAGTGTGCGGAATGCTTGAGCGACAAGTCTAGGCGACCGCGTGTAAATGGTAACGAAGTTGAGAGCAAGAGCGCAATTCCTGTGCAAATCGCGAGGACGTTTCGAACGAAAGCGCGATTCATTAAAGGATTGGGGAGTCTCCACGGATCCGTTGGAATCCTTCTGAATCCTGAGGAATCCTTCGGGCTCCGTCGGGAACCTCTGGAACCCAGAAGAATCCGAAACACTCCGAATCCGAATTCGCTTGGAATTCACAGAAATCCGTTGGAATCCGCAGGAATCAACCGGTTCCCCGAGGACTCCTTCATAAATCCTCTGGGCTCCTAAAAGAATCCTGAGGGATCCTCAGGAACCCTTAGAAGTTCAAAACACTCCGCACACATCCGTAGGGATGCCTTGGAATGCCTCGGATTCTCCAGGAATTCAAACGGATTCCCAGGAATCCAGGAATACAAGGGATCCCATAGGAATCTCGTAGGTGCAGCGCCCCCCCCCCGATGAAATGCGATGTGACCCCCCCTCCTTCCCTCCCCGGGGGGGTCCGTGTGAAACCCGTCGTTCTCCCCAGCAACAACACCAACAACAACAATAGCAGCAGCAGCAACAACAACAACCACAACAACAACCACAACAACAACAGCAACAACAACAACAACAACAACAACAACAACCACAACAACAAGAACAACAACAACAACAACAACAACAACAACAACAACAACAACAACAACAACAACAGCAGCAGCAGCAACAACAACAACAACAACAACAACAACAACAACAACAACAACAACAACAACAACGACAACAACAACAACAGCAACATCAGCAGCAGCAGCATCAGCATAAACATCACCAGCAGCATCTGCATCCTCATCGTCGACATCAGCATCATAATCGTCCTCACCACAACCAGCAGCATCATCTTCATCATCACCATCAGCATGATCAGCATGATCAGCATCAGCATATCATCCTCATCATCATCATCATCATCATCATCATCATCATCAGCATCATCATCATCATCATCTGCAGCATCATCACCACCATCAGCATCAGCACCAGCATCAGCATCAGCATCAGCATCATCATCATCATCGTCATTACCATCATCTTCATCATCGTCAGCATCATCATCAGCGGTCTCAGCATCATCATTGGCATCATGGTCAGCACTAGCATCAGCATCAGCAGCAACATCGGCAGACACATCACCAGCAGCATCAGCATCAGCATCAGCATCCACATCAGCATCATCATCACCATCAGCAGCATCATCACAATCATCATCCTTATCATCATCATCGTCATGACCATCATTTTCACCATCGTCAGCATCATCATCAGCAGTCTCAGCATCATCATTGGCATCATAGTCAGCATTAGCATCAACATCAGCAGCAACATCAGCAGACACATCACCAGCAGCATCAGCATCAGCATCCACATCAGCATCATCAGCAGCAGCACCACCATCAGCATCAGCATCCGCATCATCATTATCATCATCATTAGCAGCATCATCAGCATCATCACTCATCAATCGTCACCATAAGCATCATGAGCATCATCAGCATCATGAGCATCATCATCATCATTATCATCGACATCACCAGCATCGTCATCATCAGCATCATCATCATCATCATCGGCATCGCCAGCATCATCATCATCATCATCATCAGCATCATCATCATCATCATCATCATCAGCATAACAACCATGACTGGCAGCAGCAACATCACCACCAACACCATCATGATTATCAGCAGCATCATCACCACCACCATCACCATCGGCATTAAAAGCATTACCATCATCGTCATCATCATCAGCAGCATGAGCATCGTCATCCACATCAGCATCAACATCATCAGCAGCATCATCAGCATCATCACCATAATCATCATTTGCATCATCATCATCATTATCATCAGCAGCCTTGGCATCATCATCATCCTCAGCATGAGAATCATCAGCATCATCGTCATCCTCATCAGCATCATCATCAGCATCATCATCAGCAGCATCATCGTTGTCATCATCAGCATCACCATCTTCAGCGACGTCATCATCATCAGCATTATCGTCATCAATCGTCATCATCTTCATCATCATCAGCATCATCAGCATCAGCATCAGAATCAGCATCATCATCACCATCATCAGCATCATCATAAGCAGCCGCATCATCATCATCATCATCATCATCATCATCATCAGCATCATCATCATCATCAGCATCATCCTCGTCATCGTCGTCATCGACATCGTCATCGTTATCGTCGTCGTCATCGGCATCGTCATCGGCGTCGGCAGCGTCCTCGACATCAGCAGCATCAGCATCGCCCTTATCATCATCGGCAGCAGCATCATCATCAGCATCATCATCGTCACAATCGTCAGCATCAGTCTCTTCATCATCCACATTCTCACCACACTCACCCTCACCAAAAAAAAGAACAAATATCAGGGAAAAATGATAATAATAATGATAATAAAAAAAAACATCATCATCATCATCAACATCATCATCAGCAGCATCACCATCCCCGTTATCATTGTCATCAGCATCATCAGCATTATCATCATCATCATCATCATCATCATCATCATCATCCTCAGCAGGATCACCATCATCACCAACCATCATCAGCATCATCACCACCAGCATCATCATGATCGTCATCATTATCATCACCATCATCAGCATCATCAGCATCATCAGCATCATCATCGGCATGAGCATCAGCATCAGCATCAGCATCATCATCATCATCATCATCATCATGAACATCATCATCACCAGCAGGATCAGAATCAGCATCATCATCATCATCATCATCAGCAGCAGCATCATCAGCATCATCATCGTCGCCGCCACCACCACCATCATCGTCAGCATCATCAGCATCATCATCAGCATCAGCAGCATCAGCAGCATTAGCATCAGTATCAGCAGCAGGAAAATCATCACCGTCATCAGCATCATCATCAGCATCGCCGTCATCATCATCAGCATCATCAGAATCAGCATCCGGATCAGCATCATCAGCATCATCGGCATCATCAGCATCAGCATCATCAGCATCCGCAGCATCGTCAGCACCAACATCATCATTATCATCAGCGTCTGCATCAGCAGCACAATCATCAGTATTTAGCACCATCAGCATCATCAGCATCGGCAGCATCAGCATCACAATTCTTATCAGCAACAGCAGCAGCAGCATCATCATCATCATCATCATCACCATCATCAATCAGCAGCAGCAGAATCATCATAAGCATCATCAGGAATAGCAGCAACAACGGCAGCAGCATCATGATCATCCTCATCATCATCATCAGCATCAGCATCATCAGCAGCAGCAGTATCATTACTCATCCTCCTCACCCTCCTCCTCCTCATCCTCCTCTTCCTCCGGCCCCTCCTCCTCCTCATCCTCATCACCATCATCATCATCATCATCATCATCATCATCATCATCATCATCATCAGCCTCATCATAACCATCATCGTCATCATCACCAGCAGCAGCATCATCATTTTCAGCATCATCATCATCAGCAGCATCATCGTCATCATCCTCATCATCCTCATCATCCTCATCATCAATCATCATCAATCATCATCATCATCATCATCATCATCATCATCATCATCATCATCATCATCATCATCACCACATTCTCCCTCCTCATCCTCCCCCTCCTCCTCCTCCTCCTCCTCGTCCTCCTCCTCGTGTTCCTCCTCCTCCTTCTCCTCCTCTTCATTCTCCTCATCCTCCTCCCCCCGTTCGCCCTCCTCCTCCTCCTCCGCCTGCTCCTCCTCTTCCTCCTCCTTCTCCTCCTCCTCCTCCTCCTCCTCCTCCTCCTCCCCCCTCCTCCTCGTCCTCCTCCGCCGCCTCTTCGCCCTCCTCCTCCTCCTCCGCATCCGCATCCTCCTCCTCCTCCTCTTCCTCTTCCTCCTCGGCGGCGGCGTCGGCGTCAGCGTCGGCGTCGTTGTCGGCGTCGTCGTCGTCGTCGTCGGCGTCAGCGTCGGCGGCGTCGCCGTCGTTTTCGTCGTCATCGGTGTCGTCGTCGTCGAGGCTCGGGAAGGTCGTCGTCGAGGCTCGATGGCGGCGGCCTGCCGCAGCCAGCCCTCGAAGGCAGGTGCCGCGCGCCGTGCGTTCTCCGCCCAGAGCTCCAGCAGCAGCCCCCCCCTCTCGCGCAGGGGGGGGTCCTCCTCCAATTCCTCCTCCTCCTCCTCATTATCATCCTCATTTTCATCCTCATCCTCATCCTCCTCCTCCTCCTCCTCCTCCTCCTCCTCCTCCTCATCATCTCATCATCATCATCATCATCATCATCATCATCATCATCATCATCATCATCATCATCATCATCAGCATAATCATCATCATCATCATCATCAGCATCATCATCATCATCATCATCATCATCATCATCATCATCATCATCATCATCATCATCATCATCATCATCCTCATCCTTATCCTAACCCTCATCCTCCTCTGCCTCCTCATCCTCGTCCTCATCTTCCTCCTTCTCCTCCTCCTTCATTGTTGTGTTGTGCTGGATTGCAGTGACGAGTCTTTTATATGCATATGTCAGCGGTTTTATTGTTTCACGTCAGGTGAGTGTCTCGCTAAGCTTTCAACGGCATGCACGCATCTCGCTAAGCCTCACAAGAGCGAGAACTGGAGACGGTTCGGCAAAGGTATCCATCCAAAGAACCCTTTCTGTTTGCCCCATCTAAGAGGAGTCATTGGCCGTTGATACCAAAAAATCCTCCTCCTCCTCCTCCTCATCATCATCATCATCCACCTCCTCTGCGCAGGCCTCCATCCCAACTGATGGGGTGCTTCTGTTGACGCGAACGGCCTGGGCCGCCTATAGGTGATTCAGCGGCTGTGGATGCCGAGAAAATCCCCCTCCTCCTCCTCATCCTCCTCCTCCTTCTAGCCTCCTTTTCTCGCTCGTCCACCTCGCTCTCCACCACGGCCAGACGCGGCCCGGAAAAAGGTCGGGCAATTCTGCCCCGTCGCGCGCCCCGAAACCGTCATGGATCGATCCTGATCGAGAGACCCTATGCAAAGTGGGGACGAGGGATCCTCCACATCGTTGCCCATCGATCCTGACTACTCCGTCTCGATCTTCATCACTCGTCACCGTCCTCCCCGTCATTCCTATTTCCACTTCATTTCTCCTCCAACTCATTACCATCCCGATCATCATCCTCCGTCTGCTGCTTCCTTGTCCAACCAGCAGCCCGATTCACTACTCGTTCTCCGTCTCGCCCTCCTCCTCCACCTCCTCCTCCTCCACCGCTCACTGATTTTCCCCTGCGACTCGATGTCCTCTCCAATCTTCCTCCTGCGCCTGCTCCTGCTCTTCTATTCACTATCCTCCTCCGTCTCGCCCATTCTAAACCTCCTCCTCCTCCTCCGCCTCCTCCTCCTGCTCCTCCTCCTCCCAATCCAAAAAGGAATGGCTTGTGCTCTTACAGTTAGACTGTTTGTCTTACCTCGGCGCCAGCCAGTTCGCGACTAACCCCACCAGCCATATTGGCGGGGGTAGCTTAGGGCGCCTCCTCTTCCAATATCCTTCTTCCCCTTCGGCGAGGAGATTGCCACTGCTCCTATCAACAAATACCCCCTCCCCACTCGACCGGCCGCCAACCAGGAACCATGAGCACCCCCACCCCCCCGCCCAAATCCCTGGCAAAAAACAAAACCGAGCGCACGTGGTGGCAAGATCTGGATCGCGAGCAGGACCTTTGCGAGCACTTCGCATTGGCTTTTGATGAGGATGGCACCCGTGAAAGCTTCCAAATTGGCCCCAAGAGGGCTCCAAGATAGCTCCAAGATGGCTCAAAGAGGCTCTTAGAACGAATGACCTGCGAATGTCTTCATGGTTGATTCCAGCCGTCATCGTCCTGCCCCTCCTCTTTAATGTCATCGTCCCCCCCTTCCTTGTCCATCCTCCTGTTCCTGCACCTGCTCGTCTTCATCCTCCTCATCCTCCTCCTCCTCCCCCTCCTCCTCCTCCTCCTCCTCCTCCTCCTCCTCCTCCTCCTCCTCCTCCTCCTCCTCCTCCTCCTCCTCCTCCTCCTCCTCCTCCTCCTCCTCCTCCTCACTGCCCTCTTCATCCTCCTCCCTCCTCCCCTCATCCGTCTCCGCTTATTCGTCCGCATTTTCCTCCTCCTCCTCCTTCTTCGCCCATTCTTCCTCTTTCGACCGGAGGCTCAGCAATTCCACTACCGGGTATGCTCAGGCTGACTCCGAGCTCGGGCTTGGCGACTGATTCACGTGTCTGTTCCACTAGACGCTTTTGCACTTCCCTGGCCAAGGCAACTCGCCGATCGATCGTTTCTAAATGGAATGGCGGGGATACATTTTGGTCAACGGCCTCGTGAAGCGGGTCAAAAGGCGTCCAAACTCTAGCCGGGCCACGACTAGAAAGCGGAAAAGCAAGACAGGCGCAGCAAACGGGCGGCAGCTCAGAAGGGCGAAAAGAACCGGTAACCCATTCCTGGTGGCGTCCGAAAATCCCGGTGGCTACCAGCGAGTGGACGCAGCCAAAATGGCGCGGCGGCGCGACCAAAATAACGTAGAGGTCGATCAGGTGTGAGTCAGTCAGACGGCAACGTCAGAGACGAACGAAACCGACAAGCACCCCCAGATGACATCCGTGAAGTGGACGAACACAAATGTCGAAACATCGTGTCAGCGCAAGAATGAAGAGGGGCAACCTCGTCACAGATAGAACTGCAAACGGCAGTAACTCTTTTTGTACAGGATGGCGGGGATACTTTTTGGTCGCGGCCGCCTGCGACAGCGCATGGGGCGTCGAAGGTCGAGCGGGCTACGCGCGAGCCTAACTACACAGCGACCGAGCGAGGGATCAGAACCTACCGCCGGAGGGGCAGCTGGATGGCGGGGATACTTGTTTGGTCTGCGGCCGCGCGACAACGGTCTGGAGGCGAGGGGTAAAGTCCGGGGCAGGCGGCACGATGCGAATTTGCGAACACAACCGCCACGTTGGCAAGCCGGTTCGCACCTGCACAACAAGCGCGCAGTTGCACATGCACAGAACAAAATGATCCAAATTCACCAGCAGACGCACATAGGCGCCGCAATGTAAACCAAAGTGAACAAGCGGCAGCGGGTGCGAGTGCAGCGGAGTGAGTCGCCGGTGCGGCGCCAAACTCCAAGCCGCCGGCCCGGCTGGCTGGGAAACAAGTACCCGGGAAGCCGGGCTGCCCGCGGTGGAAAACAAGAGGCCAAGCGAGCGCGGAAGGCTGAACCACTCAGCGCACAGCCCTCAGAATCCTCCGCTCAGCTGGGGGGGGCCAACGGCACCAAACGCATCGAGTCTGGCGCCTGCGGCGGATAGGCCCAAGGGTGGACGCGACGATGCGCGAGACACAGGCTGTACAGAGGCTGCAACAATGGCGGGGATACGCGAAGCGTCAAGAGTTCATTGACAAGGCACAGGCACAGGCCACACTGTCTGAGCAAGACAGAATAGCAAGCGAGGGCCAGGGAGGAAATGGGAGGGTGGGGGGGCGAGGATGGGCGAAGTGGATGAGCAGGAAAAGGGAGGAGGCGGAGGAGGAGGATTGGCGAGGAGAAGGAAGGGGAGGGAGAGGAAGGAGGAAGGAGGCGAGAAGGAGGACGAGAAGGAAGAGGGAGAAGGATGAGAAGGAACAAGAGGGAGGTGAGGATATGATGACATTTCTGCGCGGGACTCGTGGTGCGCCTTACCCAGAATCCCAGAATCTTCCCTCCTCCGCCCTCCACCTAATCCTCCATCGCTGTGTCGTGCTGGATTGCAGTGACGAGCCTCTCGTATGCATATGTCAGCGGTGTGATTGTTTCACGTCAGGTGGGCGTCTCGTTAAGCTTCCAACCGCATGCATGCCACACGCTGAGCCTTTCAAGAGAGAGAACTGAAGACGGATCGGTAGAAGTCTCACCCACAGAAGAGTGGAGTATAAGTCCCACCGTTTCCTGTTTGCCCCATCTAGGTGGGGTATTTTTAAAGGTTGATGTCATGAAAACACTCCTCCTCCTCCTCCTCCTCCTCCTCCTCCTCCTCCACCTCCACCTCCTCTTCCTCCTGCTCCTCCTCCTCCTCCTCCTCCTCATCCTCCATTTCCTCCACCTCCTCCTCCGCTACCTCTCCTCCTCCTCCTCCTCCTCTCCTCCTCCTACTCCTCCTCCTCCTCCTCACTCCTCCGCCTCCTCCGCCTCCTCTTTGTTTTCATATTTTCTTGATTAGTATTATTATTCTTATTACTCATTATTATTAACTCCTCCTCCTCCTCCTCCTCCTCCTCCTCCTCCTCCTCCTCCTCCTCATCCTCCGCCTATCTCCATCCTCCTCCTCCTCCTCCTCCCCAACCACCACCACCTCCACTTCCACCTCCCCACCACCTCCTCCTCCTCCTCCGCCCCCTCCTCCTCCTCCTCCTCCTCTCCTCCTCCTCCCTCCTCCTCCTCCATCCACCACCACAACATCTCCACCTCCACCTCCACATCCACCTCCACCTCCTCCTCCTCCTCCTCCTCCTGCCTCCTCCTCCTCCCCGCGCCTCTTTCCTCCTCCTCATCCTCCTCCTCCTGCCTCCTCCTCCTCCTCCTCCCCCTCCTCCTCATCCTCGTCCCTCCTCGTCCTCGTCTCCTCCTCCGTTCTCCTCCTCCTCCTCTCCTCCTCCTCCTCCTCCTCCTCTTGCCTCGTCCTCCTCTCCAGCCTCATCCTCCTCCTCCTCATCTCATCCTCATCCTCATCCTCATCCTCATCATCATCATCATCATCATCATCATCATCCTCCTCATCATCATCATCATCACATCATCATCATCATCATCATATCCTCAGCATCATCCTCATCCTTATCCTCATCATCATCCTCACCCCCCTCCTCCTCCTCCTCCTTCCTCCTCCTCCTCCTCACTCATCATCATCATCATCATCATCAGCATCATCATCATCAGAATCAGCATCAGCATCTCATCATCGTCACAGCATCATCATCAGCATCGCATCATCATCATCATATCATCTATGCAGCATCGTCATCATCAGCATCAGTATCAGCATCAGCATCAGCAACATCATCATCATCATCATCAGCAGCATCAGCATCATCATCGTCATCATCATCATCATCATCCTCCTCCTCCTCCTCCTCATC